CAGAATAAAATAAAAGAAATGAAATGGACTGAATCAGGATTTTAGCCTGATAAAGTATTAATATAATCATGATAAACGCGATTCGACGAACATGGTTGTGCATCAGGAGTTTCCGAGCTATGCAACTGCAGCATGGCATCCTTGTTACCTCCTCGAAATGCATAACCGATTGAGTAACGTACGGGACCGAATTCACTCCCCTCACGGTAGATTTTCAATGCCGTGAAAGTAGCCGTCCTATCATTCTTTGTTAAGCCACCATCTATATCAAAGTGATTATATTTCAAGCAAATCAGTTTAGCTTGGCGGCTATTTATTATGATTAATTATCGTCGATATAGTTTTTTGTTTCCCACACATTGATCAAAACGATCAAGAATAAACCGATTTGGTAAATTTTTGCTTTTTGCAGATCCGTAACATCAAAATAGCTTGGACTACAGAAAAAAATCTGAAGATTACTGACTGAAATATAACCGCACTTTGTGTAAAATCGTTTCAAGTCACTTGATCATTGTTAAGTGGGACTAAAATGAAAGAATGATAAACGAACAGTGATGTACAACACAACGTTGTTCAGTAGCACGAGGACTGTTGATACCTTCAAACCATCTTCCCATAAATTTGTGCAAATCGAAATCTTCAGGTGTTGGTGGTAACAGTGCATCAGTGACGTTATCGGCAAGAATCTGCAACTGCTCCGGTGGTATCACATCAGCCAATGTTGTTCCATTCGAAATACGACGCGTTATTGAACCTACATTTAAATATTATGCATGCAGCATATGCGAAAAATATTATTCATGCTTCCACACAAGATTTCTCATGGAGTTTTACATAGAACCGAAAACAGACCAATAAGTTGAACAACGTCTATTTGACCCTGTTCATTACGAGGTATACCACCCGGTAGCAATGGGAAGCCAGGTATTCGCGGGAGTCCTGCATGAGCTGGTCCACGTCCACCACCAGCACCAAGTGCTGCTGCTACTCCAGAAAGTACTCGCTGTGCAGCATTCTGTTGCCGACGAATTCCGGAACGGGAGGCACTCTGTGCTGCAGCTTCAGCTTCAGCATCCGTTGAGTATGCAACAGCTGTATCACCGGAGCTACTTGTTCCCAATACACTAGGAATGCCTTGTGAAAGTGCATCAGCTACACCAGCTGTAATGAAACTTTCAGTTTAGAAATTACTGAAATTCTTAATGATTTCTGAAAAATTGAACGCATTCCAAAGCTTGAAAACAGAATTTCAAAATGAGAACGTCAGTAAAGTAAAAAGATAATTTATTGTCAGGATAAAAGGGTTTTGCATGCAAAAATTATCAAACTAATAATATGCGAAAGTACTTACTGTCTTGAACCAACTTCCTTATCGAACTTGATAGCAAGCCAATAAGGCCATTCTGCCCAGGAGTAGCTTCAGGTAAAGGGATACTACCTTTACCGCGATAATGTGCAGGACCTGTTGCCTCGTTGTACAACTGGTTCAGCTGGTTTCCAAATGCTGGATTTGCTTGTGACAATACATCTGTAATCAAGTTGATCTTTGTGCGAACTACAGTTAGCTTCATAAATTCCAAGTAATATATGCAAACCATTCTGTGAAGTTGAAGGTGAGGGATTCCCGGAAATGTGTTCCAATGGTAAACCTTGGACAGGTATCCCTGCAGCTCTCAACTCCTAAAAGTTCAAATTAAAGTGTTTTTCGTAATTATTTCTTATGCCAAAATTACATCTTTTCTTTGTATGTGATAACGAACCTGGATAGCGCCTGCAAAACCATCTGGATGATTACCAGTAAGGCCGGGTATGCCAAAACTGTCCAGACCGAAAAATTTGATAAGCTGGTTTTGTACATCTGGTGGTATGTTTATTGGAGGCGGTGGTGGTGGTGTTGTTATGGGACGCGGTACAAACTGTTGCTCCGTGGCTGGTAACTAAAAATTTCATTTTATGATTTTTCCTCTTATTTCAGAAAAATGAATTATAGCTTTAAATGTTTTACTATGATTTCACAAAATTTATATTGAATTATCGAATATGAAGGGATTGTGTAATTTGAATCGTGCAAGGAAATTTCAAGCATTATACCATTTATTATAATACGATAATGCGCGCTGACTAAAAGTAAAGTTGATATCTTATTGCCTTTGTCTGCCTTAACAATTTATGAGTTAATTCCATTCATTCGATGGTATTTTTTGTTGGAAATAGCAGTGGCGAAGTTGTTATGAATGCAGTAAAGCAGTACAGATTGTTTAAAGTTTCTTATGCTCCCTTCTTAATATTGTTCCTGCTGAGAAGTTTTACTCCATGAAAGCCACTTATAATATAACTTTATGGCATTGTTTGAGCATTTTTCCGAAGTGTTTACTTTTATTTCCAATTTCATTTCCCGTTATAACTCTATATCGCAAGGAGGAAATATATGAACGAGAGTACGAGTACTCAACATGAAGACACAAGGCCAAATACCAGTAAAAACTTAAATTTCGAAAATCATTCTCTTTAAAGTATTCGTGCACTACACATTAACTTGCCGGCGGTATAACGGGAAGTTGGGCAGCAGGAGTCAATGAAGGGAGATTTCCTAAATGCGGCCTTTGAGGATGATTAGCTGATGCAGTTTGTGCTAATGATGACTGTATAGGACGCGGAGCTGCCATTTCCTTCATAAAATTTGGTTTTCGATTCTGTGGGGGCAATCTGATTGTTATCGGTCGATCACTGATATCTGCATACGTTATACCAACAGCAATCAGCAACATACTAACTATCCTCATAATCATTGCTCCTTTTGTCTGGAAGGAAGTAAACATCATAATTTCCAAAGTGACATTCATTTTCCACAGTGAGCGATAATTCAACATGATCAAACATTATGTGGTGCGGTGGAAACAATGATAGTATTTCAACAATTTTTCATGAATCTTGAATTTATTATCGAACAGACTTTTTCGGTGACTAGGTTGATTTTAATGATTTTTTAACGAATTTTTGAAACTAACGAATTTGACGAATTTTTCGGAGCTTTTGAATCCTAAGTTTTAGAGAGGAGTCAACAGGAAATGAAATATGATTGGTAGTATTCTGGACTGATATAACTTCGTAATTAATTTAATTATAATCAAGTCCATCGAGTATTAGAAATAAATTGCGCAACAAATCACACGAATTATTTGAGCAAGAAATTTCCCAAAAGATAAATAAAATGGATTTCGGTATCAATAACAGTGGTAAATTTAGATCAGAAAATGCTTTTCGCACTTTTGAATCTCAAAACTAGGCCATTAAAACGGGATATTTATGACGAGGCTGGATCCGTAGTACTACAGTAAATGATGGATGCATATGTGCGTGAATGTATAAATAGTATATATATATATATATATATCTGTGCATGTGTGAATGTGTGTGTGTGTGTCTGTGTGTGTATATGTGTGTCTGTGTTTGGGTGTGAGTGTGGGTGTGGGGTGTAGCCGCTGGATGAAAACGATCCGATGATCATTGTGATGGCTCATTGCGTGCAGAGGATGAAAATTGCCTAGAAACGCAGTGACTGCACAATTTTTCCAGTTATTTACAAGAATGGACAGAGGCTTATGATAGAACTTCCTTCACAGTAGTGATTGTTTCAAATGACTAGCGAATAAAGTAGTCGAAATTTCAAACGAGTGGTTGTGGAAAAAAAGTAGTTGTTAAAGTAAGGACTTTAAGATTATCCGTTAAAGTAAGATTAAAATAAAATTATTGTTATTATAGTCCTGTCATAAATCGCCAAACTATATAAAATACAAGGGGAAATTAAAACTATCCACACTTAATATTATGGACTGTTCTATATGCATTGACAATTCATGATTTATACATTAATATGACCATCCCGTACTGCAGGTTAGTAAAAATCAACGTAATTCGCTAGCTGAGCAAAATTTTCCGCTGGTACATTGAAAGCGCCAGTATGATGATCTTTGAAACAAGTTGGTTTTCTAAGTGTTTGCCTTGTGGACACGTAGTATAAAAGTTACCGGACACTTTGTGCCACTTCGTTTGAAACCTTACCAAGAAATTATAGCGTAGATCAGTAATTTATCAAATTCAATGCTATACAACATACTAAGCACATAAAATGAAGAAAATTATCGAACACAAAAATTGAAAAAGAAATAGTAGTTAGCTCTGTTATGCGCTGCATTGTGATTGAGACGAGTAAAAAGGTAGGCAAGGAGCAGCTGCCGATGACTACATGTGAATTTCTGAAAGATAGAAACTTGAACCAGGTCAAGGGCGATGGGGAAGAGTACCAACTAGAGCATGCCACTGTCACTTTGCCGTGTTCTCATAATGGCCGTATTGAAATGACCTATATAGGAACTACCAAAAGTTACGTTTATTCGGCTTTTCACGACTTAAAAACCTTCCGTATATTTGAGTAAGGACAATAGATCTTAGTGGCGAACGTCCTATGGCCAGTATAAAGAGAATAAAACCACATCATACAACGCAAATTTCAGATTACCAATCATGCCTTAGAGTTCTTCCTCAAAAAACCCAGCCTCTGTTCTCACTCCCCATACCCTCAAATCTGTCCTACTTTTCACATAAATCACACTCACGATTGAACCGGCACCACCGAAATTTTTCCACCAGAACTGACGAAAATTAGCAGTCAAAAACTACACAGTAGCTGACCATCAACAATGATAAACGCACAACTAACAATAATATGACCACACCCACAATTCCGGTATCAATCACTCACCACCTCCCTATTCACTTGATTGAATTATCAAAATTTAAGTAATCGAACAGACATTTTTTGGGATGCGCAAAACGAACAATAATAATTTATTCGCCTTCATTCGTCATAACAATTCCATGAGAAAAAAATTTATTAACAATTTCAGGGTGTGCGTATGGAGACGAACGCTATATGCCTGCGATGAACGCCTCAAGTTTGCTGATGCACCCAGTAAAACATAAATAACACGACAAACAGAAACGGAGGAACAAGAAAATCAGTTTGAAACAAAGCAAGAAATTCACATATTAAATCAGACAATTCACTGCTGAAAAGAATTTCTCTTCAGCGAAGAGTGAATCGAAACACCATCCATAACTTATGTCCAACACTGAAAATAAATAACCTAACTCATCAGATAAAAAGAAGCTCTCGCCTGTACGGACATCATATCAGGCACATTCAAGTGCATTCGCAATAGGTAAAGTCAGGAAAAAGACTTCTCTCAAATACAGATGTTATGCTATATGCAGTGAAATGAACATTTACAGAGTTTAGTGATAAAAATTTCTCTCAAATCATAAACCATATTAGTTATAAAATATTGGGAACAGAACAAAGAAGAAAATAACAGATGATAGCACAAAAATCAGAAAAGCCTAGACCAAATCTGATGAACTTGGTATTACTAATGAGAAAAATCTCCACTGATTGGAGGATTATGTAGCCTGGAAAAACGAGATGACGATTATGATACATCATTGGTTTAAACATACAAATCTGTGTCCACTGATATCATCTCACACAATGTTTACAATTACTCCACTCCAACAATGTATCACTGTTGCGAGAGAGCTTAATGCAAAGAAGCCGTCAGATAGCAACTGGCATCAGAAGTGTAAAAAAAGACTTTACTTAAGAAGTTAAAAGCAACAGCAACAGCAAGATAAATTGAAGGACGTTTTTCCTCACAATGAACAAATACAATCATCGCGACCAAATACATTGCTGAATACTATGACTTTTACGAAATTTAAGGATTTGTAGTTTCGCAAAATATTTCTTCAGAAATACTCTTCTCATCGAACATTAATATTAATCAGCACCATTATACGTTTTTTTTCATAAGAGATGATTGCTTAGATCATTCCGTAAGGTAGCGTAACTACAACATTGTTAAAAATTAGCAGTGAAAGCATCAATTATGAATAACGATCGCTTTTTCGGTTGTGTGTGACCCACGCGTGCCACGGCTTTTATTCATATGATCCAGTCCAAGCCAAGGTGCAGATGCGTAACCTGTAAAATGTGATACACCTTCAGTTGAAATTACGGCATCGATCTTCAATAACTTGAAGTTAATATATTTTTAATATTTGCAGAACGCGTTACTAACTGGCTATGCACATCGACATTAAGTCGAAAATCTGAAAAGCGGCTGCGTTATCCAAAAGAAAAAATATGAGTTAAATAAGGAAACCTGTAATATGTGTATGAGAAAGTTCATTGAGATTAACCACGTTGTCCTTGTCCAAATATTTACTCACTCGATTATTGACAATTATAGCAAACTTATACTACAACAAAACAGATTTCATTTCAAAATAATTGGCAATTTGAACATGAACCAAATGACAAATCAGAGACTTCAGTTTCCGAAAAATATTCCAAACCTTTTCAAATTCCTTAACAGTGACATCCAGCTTCTTTCTAATCCGCTCGCTCACACTCTCCAGTGTCTCGCCATTTGTAACTTTAATGAAAAAAGGAATGCCGAACATGCGAGTCGGATCCTAAAAATGTCTTTATGAAGTGACCAGCAAAGAAGTATCTTAATAAAGAGTATACTGCATATAAACATAATATAAGCACACCTAATATCAGAAATTTCGAACTTACTTTATCAAAATGACCAACAGGTAGGAGATGTTCGCCAGGCCTAATAGTCACTTCATCTTCCGGTATCTCCTCAACCCGTACCTGCAATAGTTCCGAAGATTCTTTTCTAAAAAAGCATGTTAATTTACTCAAATAGCTTGGTGTTCTAAAAATCAAAAAAGGAGAAAATGCTAGGCTGATCCCAACTAAATTAAGATAATTTGGACAAAAGTTACCAGGATCTTACGGAATAATAATGTATTATATTATAAAACCTTCACATAAATACCACTATTGCTTTAGCATAGTGCGAAATAACATGGCAGAAAAT